CGGGGGAGAGTTCCCACCAGCAGGGGGGAGTCCCCTCCAGCCTGGAAGAGTCTCCTCCAGCCTGGAAGAGTCTTTTCCAGTCAAGGAGACAAGGCTGCAAGTTGTGGCTTAGCCAGGATGAGCAGGATAATGCCACTGAGGTAATACAGCCCTGTCCTGGTGGTGCAGGGATGCTGCAAAGTGCTCCTGGGACTGGAGCATAAGTGTGATGAGGAGAAGCTGAGGGGGCTCAGCCTGGAGAAAAGGAGGGTCAGGGGAGACCTTCTTGCTCTCTATAACTCCCTGCCAGGAGGTGTAGCCAGGTGGGGTCAGGCTCTGCTTCCAAGGAACTCATCCGGGGATGAGGAAATGGCCTCAAGTTGTGCCAGGGGAGGTTTAGATTGGATATTAGGGAATAATTCTTCATGAAAAGGGTGGTCAGGCTCTGGAACAGCTGCCCAGGGAAGTGGTGGAGCTGCCATCCCTGAAAGTGTTCAAAAAAACATGTGGAGGTGGCACGTCCTCTTGTCCTATCTTTGGGATGCTGCACAACATGCTCCCATCTAGCTGGACAGCAGAATTGTCACATACAGCCTCTGAGTCAGCCTTGGAGCACTTGGAAAACAGGGTGTGCATGGAGAAGGGGAAATCCAGGAGTCCAGCTGTCCCCCTGGCACTGCCTGCAAGTGTCACAGGCTCCAGGTCCTGCATTACATTCAGCTCAAATGAAATGGAGATATAAAAATCAATGTTCCAATAAAAAAAAAGGACAGGCATGTTCTGGCCAGCAGAACCCAGGGAAGCAATGGGAATGTTCCTTCTACCCAAGGCACACCCCAGTGCCTGCCTGGAGGCAGAAACAACTACTTTTATGGGCAGTCCAGTGGGTCCCTCAGCCTGGCAGGGCTGGGGAGTGCTCTGAGTGAGGGATCTGGGGACAAGCTCTAAGCTTCCTCACAGGGTGGGACATGCACAGCCAAAATAGGCTGGTTCAGGCAAGGAGAAAGCTGGAAATGGTGACCTTCCCTTTGCAGAGCACTGGGAGAGGCAGGACATAAAGGCATCAACTTTCTGCTCATCCACAGGGATGTGGCTCATGTGGCACAGGGACAGATGACACTTGTGCCTCTCACTGCTTAGCTTAGGAGATTTAGGATACTAGGATAGTCCTAAAAAACCCTTTCCAAACACCAAAGCACCTCCCCAAAGTGCTGTGAACATGCAGGTGAAGCTCTGCAGCTCCCCAGGTGCTGACACTCATGCATGGACACAGCTCAGCCTTCCAAGCCCCTGGCTGAGCCCAACTGGTAGGAGATGAGGTGAGATGGGGATGGGACAGGCAGGAATCACTCCAACTCTCCCCCAGGCAGCAGGGAATACAGCTGCATGGACCAGGAGTTCTTTTCCATGCCTGATGCTCAGCAAGGCACACAACCAGACAGCAAATCCCAACTGTCACCACTCTAGGGATGAAGCTTCTCCCCATCCTCCTGCTCAGACCCTTCTTCTGCCCTCCCTGTCCACACTGCCTGTTTTAGGGGTTCCCAGCCACATATCCCTAACTGGGAACATCCTCCCAGTACCCAGTCTGGCCTCCTTGCTATGGCAGCAGTGCCACATCCATGCTGGAAACATCACAGCAGAATCAGCACCTTGTAATTCCCTTGCCAATGCTTTTGCTGCTGCTGGAATAGTAAGTCAGAGGAAGTTTCTTCCTCTATAGTTATCCTGAAACTGTTACAGATTGTGCTTAAACTAAGGTTAGGGTGCAGCACAGTGCTGGACAACATCTGGCTGTGCAGAGCCAGGTAGTATAGCTCCAGTTTGGGCACCTGTAGAGCCCCAAAAGCTGAGTTCAGTCCCTGTGTCCTCCTCCCCTTGGAATGGGAACACCAAACCCCTAGGAAAGTGCCCAAATTCCTCCTCCCACACCTACCCCGTGCTCCCCCTGGGTGGTCAGGGTGGCAATGGGGATGTGGTGAGGGCACATGGGTGCAGGGAGGACTGTACTTACGCAGGGATCTCATTGCTCAGGTGGCTTGAAAGCAAAGAAACAGGACATTGAGAAGAGACAGACACACAGAGACTGACAAACAACAGCTCAACGCAGACACCCTCCCAGGCAGGGGGTTGGGGATGGGGATTTGAATGATGGATGGAGTCTAATTCAATTCCCTCTCCCAGGGAACTGGGAATTAACCACAAGGGCACAGTGGTGAGGAAGGAAGGGCACTGAGCCACACCAGAGTGGACCAAGAATCTCCTGAAGAACTATCCAGCCCAGAGGCTGGGCAGGACCTGAGTCAGCAGCTTGTCTTGAGAGAAGTCCCAAGGACCAGTAGAACCACAGGGGCCACACCAGCACCTCCAGCCCTTGGGGTCAGGGTGCAGCAGAGGCTGGAGAAGGCCACACAGGTCCCACAGCAGTAACAGAACCCACCCTTGCTGCACAACCAGAGAGGGACACAAAGGATCCAGCTTCACCCCACTCCCAAATCAGATTCCACCCAGGAGGTGTCCCACAAGCAGCAGGAGAACATCCAAGCCTGAAGCTGTTCAGGCACTGCAGTTTGGGGGAAAGCCTTCAACAAAGAAGCTTTAGGGCTGGAAGTGATTGCTCATGGCCCCAAGTTGGTTTGCCTCTCTTCAATCCCAGCTCTTCCTCCTCCAAGGACCTTAACTCTATGTTTTAAGCTTGGGTCAGCTCAGCAGCCAAATTACCTCTTTGTCACAGCATTGTGGTACTCCATGTATGTCCTGCCATCAAAAGCAATGGCCTCAGCATCTCCTGCAGCCTTCTCGATGATCACTGTGGTGGGAAAAGAGCTATCAGGCAGTGTAGCATGGCCTGGTCAGCCCTGGAGACTAGGAAAAATCCTCCTTTCTGCTCACAGTCCCAAACCAGATGAAGGCAAGCACAAACCTGCCATCCCCTGGGGCATGTCAGCCCTGTGATACTCCAAGCAAACCCCTGGAGAGGTTTGTTGTGGCTTTAGAGCTTGGGAGGTTGGGACAATCTCTTGTTTTGCAGCCAATTGTCATGAAATGTCAGTTTAAGCTGATGTTTCAGGGCTTTAAACTGGAAAAGAGGAGGTTTGGTTGGATATTGGGAAGAAATTGTTCCCTGTGAGGCTGCTGAGACACTGGCACAGGTTGCCTAGAGAAGCTGTGGCTGCTCCATCCCTGGAAGTGTTCCAGACCAGGTTGGATGAAGCTTAGAGCAACCTGTACTCGGGGAAGATGTCCCTGCCCATGGCAGGAGAGTTGGAACTAGATGATCCCTCCAACCCAAAGCATTCCATGACTGTAAAATCCAGATGGGTCAATCAGTTATTTGGCACTTGAGGAAGTCTCCAGAGATGGAATTTCCAGGCTGTGAGATGGTACAGGGTATAGACAAGTTTGCTCAGCCCTTGGCTCTGGCACTGCTCCATCAAATATCTGCTGCCAGAACCTTCAGCAACCTGGGCTAGTGGAACGTGTCTCTGCCCATGGCAGGAGGTGGAATGAGATGATCTTTAAGAGCCCAACTCAAACCATTCCACGACTCTATGAAGGACAAGACCTCTGCCTTGGTCTCACACTGCCACCAGCTAGTCATGGAAGCAGCTTCGTTGCCATGTGAGGGTCCACGTTCAGCCCACCCTGGCACCTCACCTTTCTCACAGTGAGTGCCAGAGAAGCCCCTCTGGCAGGCACAGTGGTAGTTCTCCAGCCAGGGGATGCACATGCCTCCATTCTGGCAGGGATTTGGCTTCTGGGTGCAGGAATGGCCTCGGAACAGGGAGATGGCCATGGCGTGCCGGATGTTCTGCTCCTTCAGCATAGGCAGCTGTCTGAAGGAGATCTGGCAGGGACAAGCAAGAGGAAAGCCATAAAAAGCTCAGCCAGGAGGTGCTGAGGCACTGGCACAGGTTGCCCAGAAAAGTTATGTCTTCTCCATCCTTGTAAGTGTTCAAGGCCAAGTTGGATGGGGCTTGGGGCAACCTAGGCTCATGGCAGAGGGTTGGAACTAGATGAGCTTTAAGGTCCCTTCTAACCCATTGAGGGATTCTATGATGATTCTATGATGATCCTCAAGGATAAGAGGAGATGGGAATCCAGCCCCAAGCCCCATGTGTTCCTGTGACCCACCAGTGCCACAAGAACTCACATGCCAAGACAACCTCCTCCCAGGCTCATCCTCACTCCCCACCAGGGATCCCAGTGCAGATGGCACATCTCCCAGCTGGACACTGGGGTGCCCAGTAGGACCTTACCTTCTGCACAGCTCCACTGAAGCCACTGGAGATGGCAGCAGCTCGAGCCAACTTGCTGAAATCTGGGGCTCCCCCCACATAAAGAGGCTCCTTCAGGTTCAAGTAGGTGTGAGGCACCTAGGGAGGAGAGAGGAGATGATGGAGAAGATGTCAGGCTATCCCTGGTTGTCCTGGCAGGGTAAGGAGTTGGACTTGATGATCCTTGTGGGTCCTTCCCAGTATGAATATGCTATGATTCCATGAAAGGGCCTCCAGGAAACCTCCTCATGCCAAGCTGTGAGGTCCCACCCACCAGCAGGCACCTAGGAAAGGTTTCCTGTCAACTGAATGTTGGGGAGATGCTGTTCTAATATTCTCAGATCTGGAGAGAGGCTCTGGCTTTGTGCCACCCCCAAAACCAATCACCAACTATCACTTCAAGTCTCTCCAGGGCTGATATTCCAACCCAAATGCATTCCAGAGGGATTCAGCTTAAGGGTTCATCTGGCTGTCCTACAAGCATATGGCAAGAGGAGGTTCTCCTGCATCCCACATGGTGTGTTTGGAGGAGAAACCCCACTCCTTGCTGTCAACCCTGCATGGAAAATCCCAGGGGAGTCTTCAGCCACAGAGTTCACTGGGCAGAGTGGGAGTCATGTCCCTTCCTGGGCACCTGGGATGGAGCCAGGAGCACAGCAAGGATGGGGTTATATGGATCACTAGCTAATGCTTTGTGGAGTGAAGACAAAAATGACTGGATTAATTGAAATGCTTCCAAAAGAAAATGGAACAACTGGCTGGGAATGAATGACCAAAGAGGAAATGAGTGGCTCTAATCTACAGGGATCCTAAAGCTGCTTGGGCAGATGGGAAGAGGAGTGGGAGAACACTGAGATCTGAATGGAAAACAACAAAAGACCAAGGTGCCAATGAAGATGGAAGTGTGGTGGGTCATACTTATCTGTACCTTACGGGATTTCTGGGATCCAGACAGCAGGGGAGGGAAAATGCAAAGGAAAACCAAAGGGAGAGAGAAAAAGAGAGAGAAAAGGGATATCAGTGGGTGATATTGCACCATGCAGAGCTGCAAGATCCCCACTGCCACCAGTGCTGGGGCAGCCAGGGGAAGGGGAGCTGGAGGAGGTGACAGGAGGGTCACTGCCACCCAGGGATCAGCTTGGCTTGGAGAGAAGCTTAAAAAGAGGAGAGTGAGGGGAGGAAAAAATCCCTTCTTTTGCAGGAATGCCATGGAATCTTGCTGCTGCTCTTCTAGGTGGATCTTAGGGATGAGAGCAGCAGTAATCAGGGCTGTTCCTGCATTATCAGCTTCACAGCTGGAAAGGAGGGCTGAAGGGAACTGCTGCTCAGGCAGAGACAGAAGCGTAGAGGGGACAGGGAGCAGTGGGAAAGGGAAGCTGCCAGCTGGGAAACAGAGGAGAGAAGGCACTGATGGATTTAGCAGCAGTGCCAAGGGGCTTTCCCTGCTCTGTGACCTCCTCCTGGCCAAGCTCTTTCTGCTGTGGATGCTCTTGAGCCCAGCACCAAGGGCACAGGCTCAAACCCACACATACCACAGGTGTCTCATGGAGCTGCCCTGATCCAGGGACAGTTGAGGATGGCAAGAAAGGGCAGAGGGTGTGCATGTCTGTAAGGGGGCTCAAAGGCATCCCTGAGACCTGGCAGAGGCTCTGCAGCTCTGTGTGGTGAGGGACAAGGAAGCTGGAAGAGCCATGCAGCTGCTGTCCTACAGCTCAGCAGTGCAGGGAGGGAAGCACACGCTGCCTGCAGCATCCTTTCCTCCCCAGCTCCTGCACACACTCCTCCACCCCAGAGAGTAGAATCCCAAGAGCCTGGGAGATGCTCAGCTCATTCCACACATGCCAGGAGCAGAGCTGGAAGCCCAGAGAGCTCTCCCTGAGCCAGCAGCTCACCGGAGACTCTCCTGTGACTGTCTCACTGTTGTTGATGGTCATCAACCCTTTGCGTTCGTTCCTCTCCAACAGGACAGTGATCCACGTGTTCAGGGGAACTGGCTCCTTGCTCCTGGGGGTGAGAAGGGAGGAGAAGACACACAGGTGAGAGTTCTGCCATCAGCACCTGCAAACAGAATGCTGAAAACCACCCTTGGGGCTGCCTCACCTGAGCACAGCTGCCCCTTTGCCCAGGTCGTATCTGTACTCCAGGTGCCCATCACGGAGGGCCAGAGAGACAAAGTCCCCTTTGCCATCTGCCTTCTGGCCATTGTAGAAGATCATGCCACTGGAGCTCTTGGCCAGGAACACAACTTCCATGGACATCCTGTCGCTAAGGAGAGAAGGATTAAGGATAATTTCCAATCCAGCTGCCCACACATCCTCCCATCCCCATGCAGTGAGCTCGTGGAAGAACTCTACCTCCTTGTGGCTACAAGTATGGCCCAGAGAGAGGTGCCACCACTTTGCCAGGTGAGAGAGACACCAGCCATGCTCAGGATGCTGCTCTAGGGTGTTTATTTATCCCTATGCCCCATTCCCTGGCACTTACTGAAGGTCAGGAGTGAAGGTCTGCAGCCCATTCAGCTCCAGGTAGGAGGAGAAGCCATTGAACTCTGGGAGGAAGGGCATGGTGTGGTCCTGCTCTGTCACTGGGCACAAACGAGGGAATGGTGAGGAAGAGGAGGCAGAGGAACTTCAGCCAGTGCCCCAGGCAAGGCCACCACCCAGGCTGGAGAAATCAGCACCTCGAGTTCCACCCCCTTCCCCAGCCCCACTCCTCTGCCAGCTCCCGTCCCACCTAGCTCGCAGTGCTCTCCTTCTCGGCCCATGGGACAGGCACACTTGGCACCTCCCTCTGGCAGCACCAGGCAGGTGGCAGAGATGTGGCAGGGTGAAGAGTCACAGGGGTTCTTCTCATCAGCACACGTTGGCCCTGCAGCAGGACAAGGCAACTTGGCACATCAGCATCTCAAACCAACAGCCACCAGGAGCCGTTTGACCACACACCAATGGTCCTGATGTCTCCTGATGCTCCCCCAGCCTCTCTCTCCTGTTTCAGGTTGGGTTCCCAGGACCCAAGAAGCCCCTACAGTGGCCCCTACACATGGCAGGGGATAACCATGCCAGACTACACCCCTTAAATCCAAGTGGACGTGATGCTGTGCACAAGAACAGATCCTTGTCCTTACGTACATTCTATATTTATTCACCTCACTGGATGTGACTTCATCTTCCACTTGTCCTCCCTCCCCCTGCTGACATTCCCCACCACATCCCTCCCCACTGGGATGATCCCAGAGGCTCTGGGACCCCCTCAGGACCAGAAGCCCAGCGATGCCCCCCTCGTACCGGTGTAGGGATGGAGACACTCGCAGTGGAACATCTCTGCCTCCTTGACGTGGCAGATGCCCCCGTGGTGGCAGGGGTTGGGGTGACAGGGGTCGTTGCCACACTCTCCCACCCCACTGCCATAGAGCACATCACTGCCCTTCTCACTGAGGTTGTACAGTTGGTTGTTCACATCCAGCAGGCGAATGCAGCCCTTGAGGCCACTCGTGGCCGTGGTACGATCCTTCACCCTGAGGGCACACAGGGTGAAGTAGGTGAGGGGTTCATCCCCAAGGATAAAAACACAGCTCCTCTCCAAGCATCTGGCTCAGGCTGTGCTCCCCACAGGGCATTAATCACAAAATCATTGAGGTTGGAATGGACCTCCAAGGTCATCAAGTCCAACCTGTGACCCATCACCACCACCTTGTCAGCTAGACCAGAGTACTGAATGCTATGTCCAGTTGTTCCTTGAACTCCTCCAGGGATGGTGACTCCACCACCTCCCTGGGCAGTCCATTCCAGTCCTGGCCAGTTCACTCCTCACATCACTGACTCTCCAGCTCCATTCCCATCCCTGGACACCTCCAGCCTCTCAATATTTTTGCAGAACTGGCCATAGCACAGGAGGTGCCTCACCATAGCCAACCAACTAAGCCCTCCAGCCCCTCTGAAGCCATCCCTGGCAGGCTGAGGTTGCAGCCCCAGGGATGTCCCTGGGGACAGGGACTCACGCATTGATCTGGTCCTCTGGGACTCCCCCAACGAAGAGGTCAGTGTCCAGGTTGAGCCCATCAGTGCCTGTGGGGCTCTCCCCATGGACAGGGAGTTCTCCATCCACGGAGAGTGTCCCTCTGCGCCGGTTCCGGTTCACCACCAACTGGTGCCACTTGCCAGGCTCTACACGGACCTTGCTGGTGAAGATGCCAGTGCCAGAGCCAGTGTTGAACCTGCAGCAACACAAGGGAAGAGCTGTGTTTGGGTCACCCTGGAGAAAGGTGACATCAGTGCCATGGCCCAGGGAGAAGTTGGGAGCACTTGGGAGCCCACTCTCTCCCTCCCTTCCCTCTCTCCTTCCTCCCTTCCCTTCTCCCTCTCCTCCTTCCTTCCTTCTCCTCCTTCCTTCCCTCCCTCTCTCCCTTCTTTCCTTCTTTCCCTTCCTCTCTCCCTTCTCTTCTCCCTTCCCTCCTTCCTTCCCTCCCTTCCCTTCTCCCTCTCCTCCTTCCTTCCTTCTCCTCCTTCCTTCCCTCCCTCTCTCCCTTCTTTCCTTCTTTCCCTTCCTCTCACCCTTCTCTTCTCCCTTCCCTCTCACCCTTCTCTTCTCCCTTCCCTCCTTCCTTCCCTCTCTCCCTTCTCTTCTCCCTTCCCTCTCTCCCTCCCAGGCTGCACTCTGAGCCCTCAGTCCCCCCTCCCTGAGCATCAGGACTCCCTACCTGAGGACTCATCTCCAGAGCTTTGCCCTCCACCTCCCCTCATTCCAACCCCATCCCTTTGCCTTTTAGAATGGAATCAAATCATCCCAGCTCAGCCTCTCTCCCTCTTTTTTTCTCCTCTTGCATTTCTTTTCCCAGTACAAAAGGCACCACCAAAAAAAGCCCTCTCAGTTGCTCAAATAAACCAACCTCCCACACCTTTCAGCTCCTCAAAATTCAAATTGAAATAAGTGAGATCACTTTGTTGCAAAGTGCCAAAGGGAATGAATTCCCTTAGTATTCCTATTCTAACCAAGAAAAAAAAACCTCTTCTCTTTATCCATTTGATGCTGCTGTTGCTTAGGCTGCAAATTCAAGCTCAGCATCCCCCTGGGGTTCTGGAAGGACCTTTCTGGCATGAGCAGCTCCTCATAGAACCATAGAATCATCTCACTCCCCATCAGCTGAGGGGAAGGACACCTACCTGAGCTCCACGAAACCTCCCACCAGGGCCAGGGAGATGAAGTCCTTGCCATGGTTCTGCCCATTGTAGAGCAGGAGCCCACTGAGCTCCAAGGTCCTGAACTCCATGGCGATGCGCACGGTGTGATAGGCCTTCATCATCTTGAAGGCCAAGTAGGACTTGCCACCAAAGCTGGGGATGAAGTACCCAATAGCTGCAAGAGTCAGGAAGGGGGTGAGGAAGGGAGAGAGGATGAAGAAGAGGAGGGGACAGAAGGACACAGAGTAGATAAATCATAGAATTTAGGGCTTGGAATGGAGCTTAGAGATGATCCAGCTCCAACTCCCTTCCCTGGGCAGGGACACTTCCCACCAGAGCAGGTTGCTCAAGGCTTGATCCAACCTGGAATGAACATTGCCAGGGTTGAGGCAGCCACAGCCTCCCTGAATGCCTCACATGAGCCTGTGAATATCTTCTGTCTGTACAGAGAGCTCTTGTGAAAGGGGAGAAGGAAGTTGGCTGTCTCTGGCACCACTTCATCCCTGTCACCACCTCCCAGCCACTCCTCCTGGTACCCACTGCCCCCTCTCATGATGCCATTCCCCCCACAAGATTGCTCCCAGGCTTTAAATATCCACAGTTTTGCTCCCCCACTGGTGCTCCCACCAGCTCCTCCCTGTGCTTGGTCCTTTCCATGCCCAGTCACATCCTCTGTGCCATCAGCCAAGCTCTGCTGCACACACAGCTCCTCCTAACTGAGCTTCCCTGCTCCTTAGCTAATTTTTCCCCTCTCCTCCCAGAATGCCACATGAGAGATTTACATTTATCCCTCCAGAGGCTTTTGTTCATTGCAGATGAGATTTTTTTCCAAGGGATCTAGGAGGCCAAGCCCTATTAAAATAAACAAGGCTGGACACCCCCAGCTTGGACAGCTCCAGCTTATGGCTTTAGGGGCAAAGCTTTTCAGGAATAAGTACTCCCAGCTGCCCAGAGCTCCCTGTGTGACCCCAAAGTGCCAGTGGGAGCTCATGGTAAATAACAGCAGCTCTGACTGAGTGTGTTACCAGCCTCCAGCTGCTTGCTAAGCTGCTCCAAGGAAATAGAGCCTGGATTATCAGCACACACCTCCTGCTGCTGGAGAGGATGGTCAGGCCCTGTCTGTGTTACACTCAAGCTGGGAGGGACAATGCCATGAGCTGAGCTAAAGCAGCAGCTCCCAATCTCCTCCCAGGGCTTGAGGGCAGTGGGATAGCAGGAGTGGAGCCAGGGAGACATCACTCCTGGCACCTTGTGCTCAGCTTTTACAACACAGAGTACATGTACAACCTGTTGGGGCACAGCTAAAGCAGCTGATTAAATCAAGCCCTGCAGTGCCAGTGCTCATTATGGGGTTGGGTTTGCATGTCCCACTGTCTCTTTGGCAACTAGTCACTGTCACTCTGTCATTAGTCCATGTGGTTTGCTGGAGTTGCCCAGAGAAGCTGTGGTTGCCTCATCCTTGGATGTGTTCCAGGCCAGGTTGGACAGGGTTTAAAGCAACCTGGGCTAGTGGAAGGTGTCCCTGCCCATGGCATCCCAGCCTATTCCATGTTCATTCTCTGGGTATCTCCAGATGGAAATTGTGGTTCCCCCATCCCCAGAAGTGTTCAAGGCCAGGGTGGATGGGGCTAGGAGCAACCTGGGCTAGTGGGTGATATCTCAGCCCATTGTCTGGAAAACTCCATCTGGATGAGTGCTACCCATGGATACCCATCCCTGGATGTGTTCCAGTCCCTGGGTGTGCTCAAGGCCAATCTGGATGAGGCTTGGAGCAACCTGGGCTAGTGGGAGGCATCCCAACCCATGGCAGGAGTATGGAATGAGATGATCTTTAACATCCCTTCCAACCCACCCCACTCTGGGACTCTGTGGAGGGCTGGAAGCACATACATTTCTCACAGACAGCTCCTCCTTTTCCTGCTGGGCAGTTGCAGGTGAAGTCCTTGCCATCCTCCTCACAGGTGCCACCATGCAGGCAGGGGTGAGAGTCACAGGGCCTGGAGGGTCTCCTGGTGGTCGGGGGTTGGCGCGTGGGTTTCCTCCGGGCACTGGCAGGGAGGGTTGAGGAAGGTCTCCTGGTGCCCATAGCTCCTGCAGCCTTGGATCTCCATGCTGGGTCTGGGTGCTGCACGTGGGCTGTGGTGGCAGCAGCTGTGGTGTATCTCCTGGTGGTGGCAGGGGCCATGGTGGTGGCTGTGGTTGTGGTGACTGTGGTGGTGAAGAGCCTGGGGATCCAGTCTGAAACAGCAAAAAGGCAGGTGAAGGTTGGGGCTTTGGAGCCATCTCTAGGGCAGCAAGAGATCTCAGGGCTGACCATGCTCTCAGGCACAGCTAGTTCCCCAGTGCAGGCATGGCCATGCATCTTTCCTTCCTGGAAAAATTAGTGGTTTGGGTCTAGCAGGATGAGCCCATTTGTGTTAGGCTGGTGACCACCTCAGGAGAAGCAGGGTGGGCTCACTTTGCAGGGCTGAGGGCAATGCCACATCCCAGTGCAGCACTGTCACCAGCCACAGGCCATGGAAAAGGGAGGAAACTTTACCCCTCTCTGGTTTTCCTGAGTGAAGAACCAGTCCAGGCACATGGATTTTACTCAGAGGGTGCTGAGGCACTGGCACAGGTTGCCCAGAGCAGCTCTGGCTGCCCCAATTCTGGAAGTGTTCCAGGCCAGGTTGCTTGGAGCA